GAGAGGGGTGTTTTGTGGTGGGGGAGGGGGGCAGGGGGGTTGGGTTTATGGTAGGGGGAATTTGGATGGGGGATTATGGGATGTTTAATTTCCGAATGGTTATGGATGGGTACTAGGTATGTTGTATGTTTTTTGATGGGGCATGGAGGGTTGGGTGGACGTGTGGTATAGTTATATATACGAAAGTTCCTTTTTTATTCAATGAATTCAGGATATACGATATAGGCTCAGGTAATCAATGCGAACCCATCATCGTTAATTCTCTGCGGGCACTTGGAATCATAGTACGACATATCTAACTTTAGGGAAACGGAAAAGACTTTGTTCCTCGAATATAATGTTTAGGTAGTTCCACATGTACCTTTTAACACTTATTTCATAATCATGTTATTAAAGTAAAAGGTAGACTAATGTTTCGTAAGATGAGTTTTTATATTAAGTTAAGATGAGAATTAATATAGTATTAATTAAGTTATAAGGTTATATTTGTACTTAAGAGGGAGGGGGGAGAAGAAGGGACGTAGTCGTTATTTTCTATAAGTTATACTACCTCCCTTGTAATAATATTTTCCTAAAGAGCTAGGATAATTAAATCGGTATATATAGGGTTTAGATATATAAAGTAAGCGTTTTTATTTATCTAAGTATAAGTGGATATTTGTTTTGCTTGTTCTAAAAGGGTAAAATAAGGGGATTTTATGGTGTATTTGGTGGAATGGAAGGTTGTAGGGTATATTAGCTAGAATGGATTTTGTGAGTAAAAGTATAATGGACTAGTAAGCTTGCTGTTCTTGGGTATTGGGTTTATGGAATTCTCTGCTAATTTTTGATATTAATTATTAATAGCTAACGAGATCTTAACCTAGATCTGATGTTCGGCGACTTATACTAATACTGATACCGAGATAGTAGTGACTATTTCGACACCGGACGGATTCGAGTACTTGTATACTAACTACCGTATAACCATTTTTCACCCTCGACTCTCGGTTAGTACTACAAATCCATTTTCAAAGGGCGATAAGTAGAGAGTTGAAAAGATCTTTGTGTTCTGAAAATAGCCTTTCTATCCATTTTATGAGCAGCTTTTTTTGTGTGTTTCGCGTACGGTGCGCTTAAGTATTAAAGGTGAATAAGGTTCCTCGACTCCGTAAATAAGGGTTTCGCTTTCACTATTCCCCTTCGAATAGTTCATTATGCTATCTGATTTTCGGGGTCATTTTCTTAACTGCAACAAACATATGCTGACATTCCTTGTTTATAGTTAATCTAAAATGCTGGATTGAGAGTCGGCCGACGAAATATCCCTCTAAAATATTGTATAGAAAGAGGGGAGTGATTACCGATGACCTATAAGTATCAACGGAAACGGAGATAACCACAAGCACAGAAACAATCTCATCAACTGCCACAAACACGTTAACTATACATCTCTCACATCTCTGTTTGATCTAATATCATTCAGTTCTGAGGGATTGGCATCAGCAACTCTGACGCTCTACAAGCCTGCATAAGTCCCTATACTTTCCTTGACGATTTCTCCGTCCACGGCGAGAGTACTGGACCCACGGAACCTAATTGGGTGAATGGGAACACTATGGAGAATTGTTGTGCGCAAGTGAGTATTTACCAGGAGAATCCTTCTCCTGAACATGTTGTACTAGTTGGCCCTAGAGTATATATAAATTAAATCTTTATAGTGAAATATGTTTTTTATTTTATATATACTCTAAGGCCAACTAGTAGTCCTGATACAGTCTTCCATGGCTCTGTTTAATCCTGGTGTTCTTATCTCCTATAGAAAAGGAAGACGCTAACTCGGAGATCTCACGTAGGGTAGTGCTTCTAGACCGCAGGCTTTGTAGCTGGCACTTTTTACAACGAGCCTCAGGATGGCTTCAGTTGTTTGCTCTTCATAACCAGTCACAATCCTAATCCCATATGTTAATTTGATCAGATAGCCAGCGATTTGTAGGCATTATCTGGGCCCCCTGCTGGCAAATATACGTTCAATGGACCCTATGGAGTTTCAAAATTGACTCCCAACAGGATCATCAATCCTGATGAACCCGTTCTTGTCCGCGGGCAGTTTATACAAGAGGGGAACTCTGACTTCAATCTATGAAAAACATGTGCTTTCGGTAGTTCATGAAATCCAGGATTAAGGCAGAACAATTCTATAAGAATAAACTGAATAATATGGTTTCTGGAGAAAATATAGTATTCGACTATAAATAGGTTCTAGCCATTCCGCGATAATTAAATAAACCGCGTTCTGAGAACTTGATTATTTACTAGGGAGTTGTAGCGCCGATATAATGTAGTCTGCTAATGAGTGTCAAGAGACAAATACAGCAAACACTCCACAATGTAAATTCGAATATGGTAGTTAGGATCACATAACTAGTTGGACACAAAACGAAGAATATAGCAGTCGCGCTAGCCTAGCAGCCTGACGCTCAGCTCGGCTTACTCCGCACTACTTAGTTACTTAGCGGGTCAAATTGAGTAGGGCTGAAACCTACTTGAGCAGAGTTGACTAGGTGCCACTGGTTGAATCGACTCTACTCATTTCCAACGCTGATACATGGATAGAAGAGTAAGTGGGTAACCTGAAGAGCCAGCTGGGTTATTTCGATAAACAACACACTCTGGTAATTACTTCCATGTTAAATAGAATGCGCGCACAATCTTATAGTACTATTTAGACCCCTATCTCATTCTCCTAGACTTTGACGATCGAACTGGGCTATAGTAAGAAACCTTACGTTTCACTCTGGCGGTTGGTCTGTAGGACTTAACAATTACAGCAGCTTCACGTCTTGTTTGCTCGCAGCCTGACTGATCGCTGAGCTGCTCACAACACGAATAGATAAAGCCTTCAGCGTAGTCTGGGTCGTCGATAAAACTATATGGGTCCCCATGACACCTATCATCGTGATAGGCCCAGTAGTCCCCATCCCAGTCAATCTCCTTTACTCCTATTATGGTATCAATACTAGCTTCTCATAACCTTAATAGCACAAAGGACGGGGCGTGCATGTTACTCACCAGGGTGGCGCATGCAATCCTTCGATTTGTTACGAAGGAGATCAAACTCGTCATTACAATATTTTCATTACAATATTCACAAGTCACCCACTGCTCGCTATCAGCCTCGTCCTCTTCATCTTCATCATCTTCGTCTTCATCGGCATCATCATCATCTGACACCGCTACCACCATTTCAACTCTTCAGTGTCTACGTTTGCTGTCGTTTGCTGCTTTCTTGTCAAGTAATAACTCCTCCAGTTTGGCGTTGAAAACCGCACCATCGTGCCGCTTCTTGCACAGTTTAAATACCACCTCTCGCAGGTGATTCGAATCAATGGTAAATATTGCAGCTCTGAGCTCCTCAGAGACCGGTTCTTCGGCTTGTACAGCGGGTTTTGAAGAGGCTCGCGTAGAGGGTTTTGATGAAACAGAGGCAGGGACGGCTCTAGATTTTGGACTCTCCGAAGAGAATTTAACAGCGGTAGCTTTCGAGATACGCTTCGGAGGCATCGTGGCGAGTCGATGTTCTCTATCGAGTTTTGATGGTATTGTGCGAGCTCTTGGTTGATGTGAAAAGTCACGGTACAGTTTTGTAGCGCGTACGCGTCATGGACCCCTGAAATCCAGATTACCTGCAGGGGGGAGGGCATTCATGTAACTTCATTATAGAATCTGTTTGTAAGTAAGATATAGCGATCAAAGTGAGTTCGATGCATGTATAACCATGATCCAATAGACCCGCATATGATAATATTGAGTTCTATACATATATACTCAAAAGAGTATAAGTGCTAGGCTTAGAAATACGCTACCGTATATTTTAGCAAGAGTGGATATAGGTCTAGCCGGATGCGTATATCACGTGATAGGGGGGAGCGTAGTACTATATAAACAATTAATATAAACAAATGCTATTTGTGACCGTGTGGAGTGAACCACTGCTTGCTGTGATGAATACGGAATCAAACGGAAACTGCTATATAGAGCGAACAACTAAGTGAGGAAGGAAGAGAGTTCCAGAGGAACAGAAGCTTATATACAGGCTGCCAGCAGCACGCACGTGCCGTGCTGCTACACGTGATCTGCCCCCAATTCCTCCAACTCCGTAACACTATTTTCATTGGTTCTAAGCTAATTCACGCCCTAGAACTATATCTTACTCTATAGTTCTATATCTACCTATAACTAGGGTTATTCTAGGCGAGATTTCTACTTATTCCTAGCTTTATACTAGTAGTACTACTCTACTTATACTAATACTAAGACTTATACTAAAATCGCTCGAAGGTATACTAAGATATAAACGACTATTAAAAAGTATAGAGAAAAGAAAAGCGAATTAGAAAAAACCCTAAAATATAATAACGTGGTTTATCAGCGAGTCGATCATATCACCGAGTCGATCACTTTTCCTTGGCACTACCTCCTCAAACTTCAACACACGTTTTCTTCAACTATTTACCATGGAAATTCAAACTCAAGAAGCGCGAATTACTCTAGCTATCGAGGCTATTCGGTCGTCCAAAAAACTAAGCAAACGCTCTGCGGCAAAGATCTACAATGTACCATATACGACTCTTTCCGACAGAATGGCTGGCCGAATCTACCGCCCAGATTCTCAAGCCAATTGTCATAAGTTGACTGAGTTAGAAGAGGAAGTGATTATTCGGTATATACTGGATATGGATTCCAGAGGATTTGCGCCCCGGCTCGCTGGTGTAGAAGATATGGCTAATTTTATCCTTGAATCGCGGGGGGGAAGACGCGTCGGCAAGCTCTGGGCCCATCGATTCGTACAACGACAACCAGACCTTAAGACGCGTTTTAATCGCGTTTACGACTTCCAGAGGGCCTTATGCGAAGATCCTGACGTGCTAGGCGCATGGTTCCGGCTAGTAGAGAATATGAGGGCGAAATATGGGGTTACAGACTCCGACTTCTACAACTTCGACGAGACAGGCTTTATGATGGGTGTTATTTGTCCTAGAATGGTTGTTACTCGTGCAGACCGACGTGGTAGAGGCAAGGCAGTTCAGCCAGGCAATCGGGAATGGGCTACAGCAATTGCCTGTATTAATGGGGAGGGCTGGAGTATTCCTCCATTCTTGGTAGTTCAGGGCAAGAACCATCTCTCCAACTGGTATACCGACGGCGGCCTCCCACCTAACTGGGTTATGAAACCGACAAGCAATGGTTGGACAAATAATGAAACAGGCCTGGAATGGTTAAAGCACTTTGATAAACACACTACAGCTCGTGCAAAGGGTCTGTATCGAATACTAGTTTTGGATGGGCACGAGAGTCATGAATCGGCTGAGTTCCAAGACTACTGTACGAAACACAACATTATTACTCTTGGACTACCTCCTCATTCATCCCATCTAACCCAGCCACTTGATGTTGGGTGCTATAGTGTGTTAAAACGAGCGTATGGTCGGCAGATTGAGACGTTTATCAAGGCCCATATCAACCATATTACAAAGGTTGAGTTCTTTCTAGCCTTTACAGCAGCATACAAGGAAACAATGACAGTCCTAAACTGTCAGTCTGGATTCCGCGGAGCTGGCCTAGTACCATTTAACCCGCAAGCAGTGCTTTCAAAGCTTGACGTAAGGTTACGGACTCCAACTCCCCCTCGGACGTGTAGTGCCAACTCCCTCCCCTGGGTGTCCCAGACCCCTTCCAACCCAACTGAAGCCCTTTCACAATCAACTCTTGTACGAAATCGTATAGCCTGTCATCAAGGAAGCTCGCCAACTCCACTTTTTCAAACAGTTGCTGCGTTAGCAAAGGGTACAGAGCGAATGGCACATGAGATGACCCTTTTGTCTGCTGAGGTCCGTACCCTTCGCGCTGCAAATGAAGCCCTAAGTAAACGCCGTAGGGCTAAAAAGACTCGTGTCCGCCAAGGAGGGGCACTTATAGTAGAGGATGTACAGGATATGTTAGCTCAGGAGGATGTAGATGAGCAAGTACGACGCGACATGCGTGAGGCGGGGGTTGGTTATAAGGAGGGGCAACCTTCTAGGCGGCGCTGTAGAACTTGTGGAAAAGCTGGTCATAACGCGCGAACTTGTCAAGAAGTTATAGATATATCTAGTTCGTCAGATATAGAGAGCGATAATTAATTTAATATATTGTGGTTGATTTATTTAGGTGTAAAGTTCTGTGCCAAGAAAAAGTGATCGACTCGCTGATATGATCGACTCGCTGATAAACCACGTTAAAGAAATAAAGATATTCTATATAAAAAAAGCTAAGATTAAAGTTATTATATACTATAACTATTTCTAAGTATAATATACTAACCTTATTAAAGGTAGCGACGAATTTATTAGTTACTTCTCGCCTAGGAGGATGTCACGAATCACGTGTTAGCATGTGACGAGTTAGTCCAAACGGCGTTCTGACAGGACAGATACATCCAGAGTAGTTATATCATAGCAGTGGTTACTCAGGGTTGTTGAGTATCCAAGGATTTCATAGCATTCATAGTCACGTGATAAAAGCGCGACAGCGCGACAAGCGAATTGTCGCGCGCGACAGCACGACGAGCGCGCTGTCGACATTTGGGATTTGGAGAACGAAGGTTCTATATAAGACTGGCATGTCTGCCATTAGATAGGAGCTTCGTGCTCAACTTAGTTATCAA